CAATGCAACAAGCCAATCGAACACAAAATGATCATAAACTATCTACCAATTCAATCTCATGCATGAATTCCTTCCTGGTACTCTCAGATGCATACCTCGGCATCATTTTGACGGCACAATCGCAGTCAGTGAAACGTGCCACCTCCGATTTGTAGTATCGTTGTATACCTGGCGAGAAACCGATAAGCTTCCCTAAAAAGCAATCTGTTGATTACCGAGTCAACAACGCAAAGAAGGCCTGAAGAGGCGATAGAGGGAATTAAGTCAACAACCTCATCCTGGAAAAAACCAATGATCTCGATGGAACATGTATCACTATTGCCTACAAACTCTTTCGCAGAATGTAAACAGTCTTTGAAGCTTTTCTGCTAATATTAGAACAGTCATATGTACTTTACTTGATCATAAATTCATCTAGAAATTGTTCAGTTCTACTAGAAAAGGCTGAAAGCTTTGCAGCAAGAAATTAGTGTATGTCATCTTTACCACTGAAAACTGCGAGTGAATAAAAAGTGGGATTTTTCATTTACTGATAGAAAAGTGAAGGTATAGAAAGAGGTGAACTTGACTCCTTTTTGTGTGAAGAAACCTCTAACCCTTTCTACAACAAATCGAGAATAATCATCGGATATTTCATGAGCTCAGCATTTGGATAATAACGCCTTAAAATATTTAATATCCCAATTTCGTGCAAATTAGCTAGTGCATAGTTATGCAAATGATATCCGATTTGGTTGGAGTAAAAATTTGCCCTTTCAGATTCTGACTGGCAGAGAAATTAATAGCATTGATCAACGATGATTCCTTGATCATAGGGACATAAAGAAACTTTTTCCATACCACTCCCACATATGGCCTTCGAAAACATATCTGCATAGCAAGAAAACTTACCTTTATATACCTGTCCGTATGCGCCATGCCCTAATTGCTCATTCTTGACTATTACTTTCTCCGGTGATAACTCCCAGTAATCGATTCTGCAAAACTCGCCAGAAAAAAATGAAATTTAGCCATAATAGAGCGTTATACACTTGGTGCATTCACTCGTACTAGCCTCAAAAAATTTGTCTTTTCGAAACACCAATTTTCTTTGACCTTCCACTTTAGAAGAAGTGACTACACT